GAATGCACACTGGTACAAACACTCTGAAACAACACTTTGGCATGAACTGGTCAACTTGAAATGTATATACCCCATGACCCAGTACTCCCTCTCCTGGATGTTCACCCTAGAGGACTAATATAAATGTCACCAGAAGACTGATACAAGGATAATTATAGCAGCACTGTTTGTAATGGTGGCAGGGGGAGTAGGGGTGTGCAGAAAACAACCTAAATATCCATAGACCAGAAAAATCAATCAGTGTGTTAGAGTCAGTCAGTGGACTATTATACAGTGCTAAAAAGAAATGAAGGACAGCTACAGGGACTGACATGGGTGCTCTCATCTATTCAAATAGGAACATTTATAGTATGTCTGTTCGTATGAAGTTCAAAAATAACCTAAATTAAATAACGGTTTAGGGATGCATTCAGAGGTGGTAATGCTTTTAAGAAAACTTGGGGAGGTGGAACAACTGGGGAGGGGCTCAAGAGATTTATGGATCTGGCAGCCCTTGTCTTTCACAGTCTCCCTTTCTGGTATTTTCACATAACGGTAATCAGCCACTGGGCTCCTGTCACATTCTCTCCTCTGGCTTAACATTTTTGCAATGGGTGTAACCTGTTTGTTATATTATTAGTCACCAACCACAGACAAGGATTTTCCCATCAGACCCACATTGCTTCCAAGGCACTTTGCCTGGCCTCTGAGTCAATGACAGCGTGAGATCTGGGAATCTCTAGGTTCTCATTGGCTGGACTGGCCGGGGCTCCCTCGGCTGAGAGCCAATCACTGACAAGCTTGATGAAGTCCCCTTTTCCCTGTTGGGATTTTACAGAGAACATGTTTTAAAAATGTGTGCTATTATCTTGTAGTGTCTGAATCTAATGTAAAAGAAACTGATTTCAAACACAAAGCTGCAAATTCACCTACTTTGTCTGCGACATTCATGAATTCCGCTCTAGCATCTGGCAACAGTCCTCCGTTTCTTTTGATTTAGAGATTTACCCCACTCCCTTAGGCTTTTGAGAGAGCATATGACCAATCAGTACAGCCCATTCCCCTAGCTGCAGTTATTGGTTCAGGCCTGGGCACCTGACTTAATTGGAGAGAACCTTAAGATCAGCAGACTAGTGCTTTATTTTGTCTGGACTTGAAGGGTTCTGGGCTGGAGCTGCTGGGAATTTCAGCCACCAGAAGAGGTGATTTTGATTGAAAATAGAGAAGAGAGAAAGAGCTAAGGGACAAGGGGATAGAAACTTGCCCTGGAGACATCTGAGCACCTGGATCCAGCTGTGCTTGAAGTCTACCTCTCTACTCTTTCATTACGGAATTCAATATCTCCCTTTTTTAACTTAAGCCTCTTTGAGTCAAGTGTACTGTGACTTGCAGCAGAAAGGCCAAACTGGCACCTCTCTCCAGCTCATTAGTGACACCACCTGAACCAGAAATCAGGCGTCATCCTGCCCATCCTCTCCCTGGCTCCCAACATCACACAAATCTGCATAGTCTCTCTCTCAGTATCTCTTCAATTTTACCACTTCCCCACTCAGCTATTCTAGTCTGAGTTCCTTTAGCTCCCACCCGGACTCCAGTACCAGCCTTCTCCATTAAAATCTTCTAATAGTTTCCCATAGTTCTCAGAATAAACATCAAATTCTTCCTGCAGCCCACCAGACCCCCCATGTCCTTTTCTCCCACTGTCCTTCCTTCAAAGAACTCCTCAGCTTCCATATCACTAATTTACTTTCCTCAAGAACTTACTGTGTGTTAGGCCCTATGGAAGTCCTTCCCACCTGTTTCCATTTATCCTTCATGAAAGCCTATGAGGAAGGCAGTATTATCCCTATTTGTAGAAGAGGCATTGAGGCCCAGAGAAGTTAAGAGCTTCCTTGAGTCATCATGCAGCTAGGATCCAGGCATTCTGGCTCCAGTCTCTGAGGGCTAACCACTGCCTCATACTGCCTCCCCTGCACCATTTCTTTAGGGCGCTTCTTACTGTTTGCTTGTGAGACTGTTGGATTTATATGTCTCCTGTTAGAGTATAGGATCGATGTGGGCAGGGGCAAGTCTGCCCTCCTGCTGGACCCCCACTGGGATGCACAATGCCTGCACAGAATGGATGCCCAGGAAACATTTGTTGAATGAATAGTATTAGCTAATACTCATTGAGCACTTACGCTGTGCAAACTGCTTCCTAAGCACTTTCCATATACTAGCTCACTTAGTCCTCCTGATCACACGCTGAGGTTGGCAGTTATTTAATAGCTGGGGACACTGAGACACAGAGAAGGAACTTCCCCAAGTCACGTGGCTAATAAGTGGCAGAGCTACGACACAAACCCAGGCAGCCTGGCTCCAGAGTCTGTGCTTGTAACTATACACTGTACCTGTGTGGATGGGTGGGTGGATGGACAGATGCTGAGGCCATGTTCCAACAGGGTTCAGAGTGAATGGACATCAGGAATACGGAGCTAAGACTGAACCCATATTCTGAGAATGTCAGGAGCCTAGGACAGAACAGATAAAGATGTAAGATTAGGACACACCTTACTAGGGACCATCTCTTCTTCCTAAGGCTGAAGCCAACTGGTTGGTGTGCTACAGAGGGTGTAGGGCCCCACCAGCTGCCTTTATTAGGACCTTAGTGAGAAGGCTATAAGGAAAAAAGACTGAGGCAGGCTCCAGGGAGAGCTAGATGGACTGGAAAGATACCAGAGGGCAACTCAGTGCAGATGCCCAGGACAGAAGGGCCGGCCTGCGCATGGTTCCAAAACCCAATTGGTTTAGCACAGAGCCAAACGGCTCTGCATGTTCAGCTGGGCAGCTGAGGCACCGTGGAGTTAGTATGTATTGGTACTTCAATACGGTCATCCCAAATAGCTACCTTTAGCTTGGGTCACATTACTCAAATTTAAGGTCAGAATATGGAAGGTGACGCTTCTCTCTGGGCTGTGCAGACCTCCTGGAGGTCCTGTGCTCAGCCTCTGGCCCAGCCCTGGGAGAGTGATAAGCTGAGTTAGCCACAAGGCACTGGAGGAGCTGGGGTAGGTCAGCATGGAATATAGCAGCCTGCGCCCTGACTGAGGAGGAGCAGGAGGTCTGGATGACCAGAGGGCAGGGCCGAAACCCAGAAGGAAGTCACCTCTCTGTGTAAAGACTTTTCTCTCAACACATAGAGTTGCCCAAGAATGGAAGGTGCTGCTCTCCTACCCAATATCTGAGTTCCTGGCCCCTTCCTCTTGGTTCCACTAGGATATGGGGACCTGGTCTCCTTCCATGAAGGTAAGGGTACTCTGGGCTCTGTCCCCTGACATTGCTATGGCCCAGTAGGATCCAAGGTCAAGATGGATGAGGAAAAACAGAGCCTGCTTGCTCCAGGGCAAATGCTTAGGATAGGCAGTCCAGGTTGAAGAGTTGTGTGGGGAGGGACATGGGGCTTATACAAGCTGCCTAGTGGGGCAGAGAGAGACTGAATTTGGCCCAAACTCGGCTCTTTCTGAGCCTCAGTTTTCTCATCTGTAAAGTGGGACACACAGTGTTTAACCTCCAGTATGGTAGAGAGAAATGCAAGAGGGATGGTTGTACCAGAGCTTCATAAATTGTATACCACAGTGACTATTTCAGTTATTATCTTTATCATTGGATTAGTTTGGGTCTGTCAAGAAGCCCAAACTAATTTTGCCAAGATAGGATTGGATATGCAAAGAAATTGTTCAGGAAAGTGTTAGGTAGCTAGTCAGACATGAGTGACAGGGGGAACAAAAAAATAGGGGCCCAGCCTAGAGAATGCCCAAAGAACACTCCAATGCTAGTAGAATTCTGGGCACGCACATGCACAGTAAGCGAAGGGTTATACAGCAGCCTGGTGTCAATCAAAATGACCTCACTTGCCAATCACCTAGGAATGCCTTTGAAACCACCCATCATGGCCCAAATATAGGGAAGACATTCCCACTTCTGGGCCCTTTTACCCTCTGGACTCCCCTCCCTTTTTTGCCCTTCTGGGCACCCCTCCATTTTGCCCCTCCTTTTTTTTGCCCTTCTGGGTTCTCTTTATGATGGCCTTTTTTGGCCTTTTTGCCCTTTTGTAGCCATTTTGGCCCCTTTGTGTTGGTTACAGCACTGAGACCATGTGCTTCCCTGGGCATTTTTTGTCTTTCTAAAATATATTTTTAATAAAACTAGTAAATCTCAATGACCTGTGATTCTTCACTGCTGTCATTTGAGGAAGAACCGAGGAAAAATGTTAACTACACATCTGTGCCATCCTTATCCCTCTCCCTCCCCGCTACCATTGGGGCAACACCCAACTCCAAACAGCCCCAACCGTGACAGCGGGAGCAGAAGAAGGCAAGGAGAAACTCAGACCAGTGTAGCTTAGACATTTGTGACAGGAGAGGGGGAAGGAAGGAAAATTGGAAAGGAAGAGTCTTGGAATGTGGCCCAATTCCAAAAAGCTTCAGCCAGAATTATGGGGAACCCTCAGCCACCTTTCTGCTGGAATAAATTTCTAACTGGGTAGGTCTTGGTGGGTTATCATGCCCCAGGCATATAATTTCTTTTCTAAAAGGCTTATCTGTGCTTTAAGGAAGCTCTGTCTGTTGTTTCTATGCATCTAGGTTAACTCATCTTTGAAATGCTCCCTTTTAGACTCCTCCTTCTAATCCTACCCTTTAAAGCATGCAAGAGAGCACATAATCTTAATCATCATGAAATCTGTTCACAGTCTTGCTTTCTCCCACCTCCCTGTAATTTTCCTTAAGTTTCCTCCTTAATTTCAAATGTATAAAAGAAACTGCAAAACTGTTATTCTCTGGAGCATTTGAGATCTTGCTCCCCAGAATATGTTGTCTGTTTGGCCCAAATAAACAAAAATTTCTATAGGTTTGGACATTTCTTATGCCAACAGCAACCACTGTGCTCTATTGTTGGCCAGGGAAAAGGGGGTGTGTGCCGCTCTAGGTGGCAGATCTGGAGGGGAGGGCAGTCACTCATGCTGTTCGGAGCAGATCTGAGTGATGGCAATTCTCATGCCACCCTAAAAAAATACTCAGGTAACCTGAGGCTATTTGGAGCCTCGAGGCCAAAGTTTGTTATTTAAATAGAGGTGTGTTTTCCCTCACCACATTTCTAGGAGAGGAGGCTTCCAGGAATTACTGTAAATTCCTGCCCCATAACAAGGCACCTTGCTGAGGACTCAACTATCAGCTGTGTGGGATGGAGTAGCCAGAGGCCTTGTGGTTAGATTCAAGGGCAACAATGAATGAAGAATAAAAAAGAACTGAAAGAAAATTTTGCTATGTCTATCTTAAATCTTTCTAAGCACAAAGAAAAATACTGTTTTTTTCCTACATCAAATTTTATAAGTTCTATATGTATGTTGCAGAAAGCGACACTCGTTGGAGGAAATTGCACTCTCAGACAACTTTGTTACAGGAAGGAGAATTTATTAGCCAGTGGAGCACGTGGGGCTTAACAGCACCAAAGCACGAGCTCACCCTGATTAGATTTCTTGTAGCTTATATACCTTTACAGTGTCCATGCAAGGGGTGTGTGATTCCTTTATCTGAGGTTTTACGTGCACCTCATGACTCAGGATAGGCAGGGGAAGTTTCAGGTGGGGGCTGTAAGAGGGAAGGAATTCCCAGACCACTGGTCCTATCTATTTACAGATCGTTTTATCTTGTAGGTGTTGCAAGAGTTTCCGGAAGGCCATTTAGAGATCTATAGGGTGTGATTAATCTATAACCCGCTGAGTCAGTCATTTCTGCAAGCCCTTCCCTTTGCATTTTTCAGATGCCTCCTCTCCTCTCTTAGTAAAAACATATATAACCAAAGTTAAAACAGAGGCACCTGTAGCTTGTACTTAGTAGATAAAAGGCCAATACTCCTTCTATACAAAAACTTCTTTAAAATTATTAAGAGAAAGATGAATACCTCAATAGTGAAAATGATTGAAGACTATGTATGCCGAGTTCTCAGAAGAAACACAGATGCCTAGTAAATATTTAAAAATACAATCAACTTTAAACAATGGGATATACCATCTTCACGTAATGTATTGACTAACACTAGAAAGACCAATGATACCTGGCAATGGTGAATGTATGAGAAACATGCCCTCTAACCCATTCTTGGTGGATGGAGATTTGTACAACTTTCTGGGGGCCCTTTGGCATTACATATCAAAAGTATTTAAAAATGTACACACGCCTTTTCCCCTTGCAACTTCTTGGAGGTAGACTAGTACCCAAAAATATAGATTCAAGGGTATTCTTAAATCATGTTTTTATAATAAAGAAAATTGAAAATGATCAATGGAGGATCAGATAAACTGTGGTTATAGCAGACAGTGTAATATTGGACAGCTATTGACAGTAATTGTGTAGATATAGGTTTTGATGTAGAAAAATGGCCACAATATATCGCATAAAAATGTAGCAGAAAAAAGTGCTCTTTAGAATTTCATTGTGTAGGGAGAAGGCAAGAGAATTAAAAACATTAATAAAGCCACTTTTGGAGACTGCAGTATAATGCTCAGCCCTGCAGCCAAGCCAGGAGGACATCTTCAGAACAGAGGAAGATTTCTGCTAGGATTGCTAACAACCCATGCCCCACACCAGTGAAGGGGAAACAGGAACCAAGAGTCATTGCCTATGGCAAAAAGGATGGGGAACCTCAGGATCAAAGGCTGGGAACTGCCAGCAGGCCTTTCACTCTACATATTATTACCTTTTCAGGATAAATACTCTTTTCCTTCCTCACTGTATGTCCATATCAAAGGAAATGAGAACTAAAGAATGACAGAAACTGAATTCCCTGAACACTCACTGTCCTTCTATGTGCCTTTACTCATCTCTCACTGCCTCTGTCACTGTCCCTCTCACTCTCTGCCTCTGAGAGACCACACTGTCTGTGGAGTGTTATCCCTCTTCTAATAAACTTTCCTTTTGACTCTAAATTTGGCGTGTGTGTTGAATTCTTTCTATGCTCTCTGCCAAAGAACTTTCTTCTTCTCTGGGTGCAGGGCTTGGTCTTTCCCCACCACCTTGGGGAAATTTTCCCTGTCCTGCATCATATACATACACACATTCATGCATGTATACATACATATAGAACAGAAGTGGTTGAAAGAGGTTCTTTAGTGGAGGTAGGTTTGCTGGTGTTGAATGTTTTATTATGTGTATTTCCTAACTTATTTATTAAAATCAGAGCCAGCTTCTCCCATTTCACAGATGAGAAAACTGAGGCTCAAGGTAGACAAGAGGCTTGCTGGGACCAGGTCTCCTATCTCTGGGCTGAGTTTGCTGTCTTGGTGGCCTCTTTCAGCTTCTTAGGGCTTCACTGTGTGGCCTTAGGCAAACCCCTTTCCTCTCTGGGGAGCTCTAGTAGAGAAGGAGCTGAGACTCTCCACTTAGTTTCCTAGCCTACTAGGGAGGGCCCAGCCTCTGAGCTCAGTGTCCCTGGCCCTCTCAAAGTCCCCCATGACCAAGAAAGCTGAACTAAACAGCAAGGCTGAGCCAAGTCTTATCCAGGGTGACCAGACTTTTCAGAAGTGCCAGAAATTTCATCACACCAGGCAGAGGGATGGGCTAGGGGTGAGTCACAAATGTGCTGGGCCATGGAGGTAGGAGCTAACCATTCCCAGATGGGAGAATCGGGCCCGGCAGCTTTCCTGGAATAAGCAGTGTCAACGTAAGAAAGTCTAAACCTGTAGAGAATTTTTTGTAAAACTTTGAGCCCAAAAGAGGATACACCTGGAAGCAAAAGGCTAAGATCTCAAAGACTTCAGAGAATAACAGTTTGTAGTTTCTTTCATACATTTGAAATTAAGGAGGGAACAAAAGGAAGATTGAAGATTACATGGAGATGGAAGAAAGCAAGGTAGGGGTTGGATTATAGGATCGTTAACAAGGTTATATGCTCTCTTGAGGGTGGTTAAGGTTTATTTCATAGGTATGTTAACTTAGATGCACAGGAATAATGGACAGGTCTTACTTAAGGCAAAGATAAACCTTTAACTAAAAGTTATAGGCCTGGGGTGTGACTGCCTACCAAGACCAGTTAGGAATTTTTGATCAGATCATCCTGTGAAGTTACTTTCCATAGAACTCCTTTGTTTCATCCACAGCAGACAGCTTGGGAAAGTGTAGAGAAATAGAGAAATCCCAGCCTAAAAAAAAAAAAAAACAAAAAACCCTACTGGTTTCCCCTACCTCCTCTCTCTACACACCCCATTCCATGTACTTTAGCCCCTCCAACCATCTGCCAAGGGGTCACCCACTACCTGTTGATGTATCCTGGGGATGGGGAACCCATGGCCTCCTACAACGTACTCTGCTCCTTCCTCTGCAAGGGCAGAGAAAAGCATGCAGACTCTGCAGTTGGGCTGCTCTGAGCTGGGGCCCTCACTATGCCATTGAATCTGTTTCTTTGTCTGTCAAGTGGGGTAATATCTAGCACCTCTAGGATTGTTGTGAGGATTAAATTAATTAATTTAGGGTCCCCTGTGTATGGTTAACAGATAGGAGTTTACTTTTTCCCCCTATATCGTCCCCTTTATTTAAGGCAAAGCACCCTTTGGGGAGAGTCTAGGCATCACAAAGTACTGATCCCTATTGGCTAATCCCAGTGTCCAACAGGGCCTGGGGAGTACAGGCTCCAGACTTGGTAGGTAATGTTGTGTCAATGAAAGAAATTCTATTAGCAAAGACTCTTGGGTGTGAGTAATAAAACTCCAGCTCAAATTGGCTGAAGCCCCAAAGGGAATTTATTGGCCCTTGTAACTGAAAAATCCAAGGGTAGGATGGCTTGCAGCAGAGCTACAGTTGGATGCTTAAATGTTATGTCATCAGAAAAGTCTCTCTCTCTTTTCTTCTTCCTTCCCTCCTTTCAGACCTGCTTTCCTTTGAGCTCGCTTCATTCTCAGCAGGTTTCTTTAAGAGGTGGCCTCCATGCTACAGGCTCACACCCACAGCTGAGCAACACAGCAGGGAGAATGAGCTTTAAATAAAGAGGCCCCCTTGCTTAAGTCACAAATCCTTCCCTGGATGAAATAGGCCAGCAGGCCACACCTGGGCCAGGTGCCTACCCAGGAGGGGAGGATAAACTCTATCTGAATGAACCACATGGACCCAGAATGGAGAGAAGAGGGGACTCAGGGTCTGGTAGCTGCAGCAGAGGACAGGGGTGGGCAGAAGTCACAAGTGTCAACTGCATCAGTCTTCTTGAGGGCAATGAACCATGAGCTCCTGTGACAGATGGGCAAACATAGTATGCTATGGCTTCTTAGTAGTACATTTGAGCTACTATTGAAGTGGTCGGTGGTTAGTAGGTAGGCATAAGTTGGGCTGCTATAACAAAGAGACCCTAAAAATCTATAGCTTAATGTATTTATTTCTCTTTCATGTGAAGGTTCGGACTAGGTATGATGGCTCCACGATGCTCAGGGACTCCTTCTGCCCAAGTGTGACATCTACCTGGTATACAAGATGGCTGATCCAGCTCCATGTCCACCACTAGGTTCTCATTTCAGCCAGTGGGAAGGGGAAAGGGAAGGGGGAGACCACATCACTTCTGTTCCCATTCAATGGCCTTAAACTTTCACAGTTGTACCTGGCTGCCAGGGAGGCTGGGAATATAGTCTTCAGCCAGGTAGCCATGGGCCTATGTAAACTTTCTATAGTTATATTTCTGATATGAAGACTGGGGTGAGACTAGTAGTTTCTGTCCCAGCTGGAAGAGTATTCATGGTGGGTAGAAGGGCAGGGAAGTGAGAAAGTTCCTGGTATATAATCAGCTGCTCATTGAATTGAAGGTAAAGGTGCTGGGGGGTAAGGACAGGAGTGTGGTGGGTGAAGAGGCTGGAGAGGTGGTGGTGCAGCCTACTCCTAGAGGGAGAGATGAGGGTGAAGAGGCCCACGCAGACCCTGGGACTCAGGGCAGTTTGAACAGTGTCAACGCTGAGAAATGTCCAAGGCTATCAAGAATTTTTTAAGAGTTTATTTGAGCCAAGATCTCAAATGCTCTCCAGAATGACATTTTGCAGTTTCTTTTACATATCTGCAGTGAAGGAGAGAATGTAAGGAAGATTACATAAAGTTGGGAGAAAGCAAGGCGGGAATTGGATTACAGGATAGTTAAGATTATGTGCTCCCTTGAGAGTGGTTACACTTCTGAGGAGTCTGAAAAAGGAGGCATTCCAAAGTTTTGTTAACCTAAATGCACAAACACAATGGACAGGGTTGGCTTAAGGCAAAGGTAAACCTTTTACTAAAGAAGTTATAGGCCTGGGGCGTGACTGCCCAGTTAGGATTTTATGATCAGATCACCCTGCGAGGTTGCTTTTGGGCACTGGACTTGCCAGATTTATTATAGAGTCCCTTTTTTTTCACAACAGGGAATTCCAGGAACTGGCATGAGGCATCATGGGCTCTAGCTGGTCACATCTCCTTGGTCTCACAGACAAAGGGACACAGTTGGAAGAAGGACAAAAGGGGAAACTCCAAGCAGGGTTTTCCAAAATTGACAGCACTGTACAGTCAATTTAGAGGCTAAAAAAATAATGATGCCTGGCTACACCCTCTGGAGACTCAGATTTAATTGTTCTGGAGTACAGTACACACTGGTATTTCAAAAAGAAGTCCCAGGTGATTCCAAAGGATTTCCATGTTCAAAAGCTCAGGTCTGGGCAGTGCTGCCAGGGTCTTTGTTGGGTAGCTGGATGGCTGGTAGTGCCACACCTTGGGTAAGAAGGGCCAATGTCTGAAAATCACTGCCCATCATCTTGAAATATCTTTCCCATATTTGTGAAACATTCCAGATTCTTGCTGGGCCCAGACAGTCACTTTCTTAGCCTCTTTTGCAGCCAAGGACAGACAATTGCCCCATACTGCCTAGTTATTGTGTCTACAACAGATGCTGAACGGGACGCAAGAGCTATGACAAAAGAAGCCTAGTGCAGAGCCTATTCTTGGAGGAAGGGGTATTATATCAGTCCTCAAAGGCAGCAGCAGAAGTTCTGGTGGGGAGTCTGGGCCTACCATTCAAGGGGTGGGCAGTCCCCATGCTATCTGCACCCAGGTGTGCAGGGAGATTTGGGGCACTGTTGCTGGCTCAAGTCGTTTTAGTATGTGTGCAGCTAATGACAACAATCGAGAGCTTATCATGTGCCAGACTCTGCTCTAAGCACCTTAAAACAATTCTATGAGACAGGAACTATTTTATAGATGAGGCCAGTGAGGCCAGAGGACTGACACCATCTGCTGAATGTCACTCAGGAGAGAGGTGACTTTAAACCAGGCCATCTGGCTACAGAGTCCATTATTGTTGTATGGGGTTATTATTATTGTTACTCTAATTTCTCAGATGGCAGAGGAGGTACAGTGACCTCCCCAAGGATACCTAGCGAGGATATAGACCCAGGAAACCCAGTGAGCCTTCTTTTCCCTATCCAGGCTGCCAGGTGGTACAAGTGAGCCTTATGCCTGTCAAACCCTGGCGTCACAATGCCCAGGGGGCTGGCGAGATTGTCATTGATGTGAATAACTTTGCTGCCCACTCTGAGCATTTTGATTCAGCCTTATCAGTCTGGAACTTCCGGCAAACGTGTCTCAGCCAAACCTGGGCCCCAAATTCCTGGTGGGTGATGTGTGCTCTGTCTTCAGTAACAGCCCTGGCAGGGCTCCCAGGGGATGGCCGCCTTGGCTGCATCTCCAGCTCAGATAACAGAGTACGGGGGAAGTGTCTCCACTTTATCTCCTGGAAAGCTGGCTTGGCTTTGGGCTCTCAGCAGGCTGCAAGGTGAGACCAAATCTCCACCTATTGCTTATCGTCCAGGCTCCAGGAGCCTGCTGCATGGAAGGGATCTATATCAGAGGGTGGGAAGTTGCCCAGGTGAGTAAGGCAGGTATCTTCTATCACCCCATGCTGCCTGCCGCTGACAGAAATGTCAATCTGTCATTCACTTACTCTTCAGATTTTTACTGAGCACTCCTCTTGGGCCAAGCCCTGTTCAAAATATTTGAATTCATTTAATTTTATCAACAACACCTAAGATAGGCCCTGATGTCATTATGTTAATTTTACAGCTGAGGAAATCAAGGCCCAGAAATAATTGCCCAAGCTCACACAGCTGGTGTGTGGTAGTGTTCTTTACCCTAGGCTATCCTGCCTATGGTTCATTTACAAATAAATAAAAAAGTCAGGTAATTACAAACACTCTAAGTTGTAGAGAGGGTAGAGCAGTTGCTACCTCTGCTTCCTCTTAGAGAATGCTCTTTGCAAGGGTGGTGACTTTTCGGCCTTATCTCAATGCAAAGAGGAGGCAGCCTTGGGGATCTAGGGATAGGGCTTTTCAGGCAGAGTGAACCACGATTGCAAAGGTCCTGAGGGAAAACGAGTTCAGGCCTAGAGAGCAAAGGGCCTGCCCAGGGTTAGACAGAAAGCTGGGCCAACTGGATCCAGGTTCTCAGTCCAGGCTTTGGCCCCCATATCCCCTCTTGGCTCCTCTGCGGTCAGCCCTTTCTGAGCCCCTGGGTATTTCCAGGCTGTAGCTCCTCCCAGCTGTGTGACCCTGGGAAAGTGGCTTCCCTTCTCTCTGCCTATCCTCTGTGCTGCCTCACCCCTGTCCTGGGGCTATAGTGAGGCCCCTGGAATGGAGATGGGGTAGGGCGCACTCTGGGCTCCTGGCTGCAACCCAGATATAAGGTGGCAATGACTGGGCTATGTGTCATTTAGCAGTGTGGGGAGTTGGTTCTGGAGGTTCTGAAGTCCCAGAGGGCCTGGTCTAGGCCTTAGGTCCTAGAGAATGTAGCCCCAGGACTGAGAAACCAAGAGAGAGATTCAGAGGGAAACAGAGACCAAGAAGGACAGAGTAAGATGGAGAGACAGATCGACCTTAAAAATGAAAGAGAAGAATGGAAAGCAAGAGACAGGATGGGTGAAGAGTGAGAAATTCCGAGAAAGAGAGAGAGAGAGACAGACAGACAGACAGATAGACACAGAGAGAGGCACTAAGAGTAGACATGAGAGAAAATTGTGAATATTCTAAATGCCACTGAATTGTACACTTTAAGATGGTTAAAATGTTGAATCGCATGCTATGTGACTTTTACTACAATAAAAAAAGACAGGAATAGACACAGACAGAAGATGGTCAACAGAGAGAGACGGAGATGGAAGGACAGAATTCCAGGATTCTGACTGGATTCTGGGACCCTTTAAATTGATGGTGAGGGATTGGGATCCCTGTGCCAGAGTCCAGGTCTGCAGGGCCCCATGGGTTTGGGCTAGTCCTCCTTTTACTTGGGCTGCTCAGGTGCCAGAATGTTTGCCCTGGTCTAGCAGTGCTGGATTCTGCTTGTGTGGGTTTTGGGGGTGGAGTTTTGAGACCCTGGTCATGGGAAAGGGCCTGAGTGGTAGTCTCTTGCCAATTGCCTGCTCTTTGTAGGGCCTCTTACGAAGCACAGGCTCCTAGTCTTTTGAATCTGGTGAGTGGGGACCAGATCGTGGGATGTGCACCCTGATGGATTATGGAGATCAGAGTCACAGTAATTAACGTTTTGAACTTACATTTTGCAGGGTCCTGTGCTGAGGGCATGACATGGAGTTCTCTATGTCTCCCCATCAATGTTAACCTTTTCAAGAGATGAGGCAGCTGGGCTCAGAGAGGTCAAGGCTTTGGTTGAGGTCACACAGTGGTCACAGGCGGCTGTGTGGACGGAGGAAAATGACAAACCTTGACGGCCCCGAAGCTAGGGGTTGGAAAACCATGTGCCCAAGGACCTGTAGTAGCAGTGTCAAATGCCAGCTGGCAGGGTGGAGAGTGGGGGCCCCCAGGATAGGAAGTAAGGCAGATGGAATGCTGGGAACAAGATGGGCCTGCTCTCTGACCCTTTCATACCGGCCTGCCTCTTGTCAGTATTGTACCCAGGCCCCTCAGACCCTCCCAAGTTTCTGGGCCCATTTCTAGGTGGGGACACTGATGCTCAGGGCGGCTGAGGTGGCAGGGCCAAAGCCCCCAACTCAGAGTTTAGCCTGAATGGCGCGGGGAGGGGAGGGGGAAGGGGGGAGGATGGGGGTTTAGGGAAGGGGTTGAGGGGCTCAGCGAAAGCGTGGTGCCGCCAACCCTGGGACGTCTCTGTTCCGAGTGAGCGGCGCCAGGCTGCTCACCCCCACCCCTCACCCAGGCCCTGCTGAGACCCCGCCCCGGAGGCGGAGGCAGGGGAAGGGGCCCAGAGCCGCC